CGTTACGTTAATGTAGCCTATATAATATGTAAAGTTTAGTATATTGTAATCCCTTATAGTGATTGCACACGACGATACACCCATTCGGCATGTAATTCAGCTAATTTCGTTCAGGTGACTTTAACCTTACGGTGAAGTCCATCATTAAGAAGTGGAATGTGCTTCATACCACCCATTCGCTACTCAGATCAGGCCGACCTTCCAAACTAAGCAGCCGAGCAAGCAGGAAAGTGATTAGGGATGCAACTGTGAAGCCAATAGTGACTTTGAAAGATGTCTGAGATGGGAGTCAATGTTCATACATCAACGAAATCCCGGTCCATACATAAAGTTGGCCTGTATGGACGAGTGTCATGAAAGAAGCCACAACTATAAAAGAAATATCTTAAAGCTTGTATGCAGTTTGCGACAAAGCATGTAGATGATACTGCAGGGATGTGGCAAAAGGGTTTGTGGTCAGACAAGACAAAAATTTAGCTTTTGGGTCTACATTCAAAGCGTTACTGGGGCCTGGCATGGCCAGGTAGTTAGGGCGCATGACTCACAGTCTGAGGGTCGCGGGTTCGAATCCATGTCCCACTGAACATGCTCGCCCTTTCAGCCGTGGGAGGCGTTATAATCTGACGGTCAATCTCTCTATTCGTTGATAAAAGAGTAACCCAAGAGTTGGCGGTGGGTGGTGATGACTAGTTGCCTTCCCTCTAGTTTGTCACTGCTAAATTAGGGACGGCCCTCGTGTAGCTTTGCGCGAAATTCAAACCAAACCAAAATGTTGCGTCTGATGCAAGTCCAACACAGCACATTACCCAGCCAACAACATCCCATCTGTCAAGCATGATGGTAGCAGCATCATGTTATGCAGATGCTACTCATCAGCAGGGACTGGGAAGCTTGTCACTATTAACTTTAATCATTAGAGTTTTGAATAAAAACAAGTTCATTAAAAACATTGTTTACGTTATTTGTATTTCATCAAAATGTGACATTATTAGTAGGAGGTGAATACTTTTTCATGGCGCTGTAAAATCGACTTGAGCTTCAGAAAAACTATTTCATCAACGTTTCAACTTAGGCTTCTACTGGGTAAAGCGTTTTACAGTTACACAATAGTATTGACAAGACTTAGTATTTAGAACGAAAAAAATTTAGTAATATGATATCCAATACGGTTTTATATTGTACACAAATGGTCATGTATCATTATTGCTTAACGAAGAATGCCAACAAAATGAATAATTAAAGTACAGAAATTAGATAAAATATAACAAAATTCATTTCTTTTTTTTAAAACAAAATTAATGAAATTTCAAACTGTCACCTATACTTTATTGAGACTCTATATCTTAGGCGTGCATTTCATCTTCAGAATAAGTTTACAATGAAAACAATAACATTGTATTGGATAATATCTGTGTTCAGTATTTGTTGCAAATGATCCTACAGTCAAAAAAGTGTTTATTCATCGCTTAAGATCTGTGCCAGAAATTATACAACATTAAAACAACAGTGAATTTAAACTTATTCTTTAGGTCCTCCCAAGGATGAGTTTAACATGCGACACTACAGGTTAAACCGTTTCAGTCGGCTGATGCAACTTTACAAAAATTCATGGTTGTGGAAAGACATCATCATTGGGTGAGTACCTTAACCATGACACGAGCTGTTGATCAGTGGAAATATATTAATTTGGCCATGTCAATAACAAGATGAAATATAATTTACTAAAAAATATATATTAATTTAACATATTTATTGTTATTCTGTTTATATGATCACAAATTTAACCTTGCATCATCTCAAAGTATTGTTTATTTTATTTAAAAATGCTGTTTCATAGATAATTAAACTTAACAAGTTAAAAATGTTTGCTCGTTTAAAATTTCCTATCTTTCTAGCCTTTAAGGATTACTGATTACTGTACGTCAATATAATATACAACGTCTTATAGACAAATCGATAGAAATACCATCTGGGGGCGCTGCATGAATTTTTTTTAAGATTTGAAATTTGTTATTTTCTTAGTGAAAAGCTATACAAAGGGCTACCTGCACTCTGTCCCTCGCGGGGAATCTAACCCCGGATTTTGAAGCGTTGTAAGTCCGTAAACTTATCACTGATTTACCGGGAGACAAAAATGCTATTTAAACGAATCAAACGATGTATGCATAAGGTTTTCTGTTATGTAAATATACATTTTAAAATGCGTACCAAAGTTAAAAGTTACAAGATAAATTGTAAGATGGGAAGTGGTTAGGTGTACATAACAAGTTGGAAAGACATTTTTAAAGAGTATCATTTATGTGGTTAACCGTTTATTTAGTGTTTATTTTGAATTTTTGTATGTGTTACATATAAATATTTGCATGTGTATACAATATAGTTATGGGATCCTTTTATTGTGAATTAAACTAATTAAAAAATCAATTTAAATTTTTAAAAAACTCCGATATTCCAAGAAAATAACACAGATTCGTACTTTACTTTGCCACTTTCATCATGATATTGACTTCAAATGTTTAAAGTTCTCAAGGATACCAGACTTTTCACGTTCCTTTATCCAACGTTCCGACTAACTGGGTCGTTACTGCTTTTGGAATGAGTAAAAACACTGGTTTTGGAATACTCCGACCTGCATTACAGGTATGTCTGGCTTATCTGATAAATATCATTAACACTTTAAATATATTTTCAAACATTATTGCTTATCCGTTTTGGTAGTGAGAACTTAGGATGACTTCAAAGTACTAAATAAGCCTTGTTAATTGACTGTTTGTGGCTTATGTTATCTTCAAATTTCAGTGAGTAAAACACTACCGAGAAAAGTGCAAATTTTAGTTTAAAATATTGTAACGTTCCAAGAGTTTATTTGTTTGTTTTTAGAGTAAAGTCCACATTGGGCTATCTGCTGTGTTCATTGCGGGATATCGAACCCCTGATTTTAGTGTTGTAAGTCCGTAAACGTTCCCAAAGAAGAAACAAAACAAACTTCGTTGTATATTTTCTCTTATACATTCTGACAATCAGTTGATTACAAATTTTTCGTTGCTACAGATGCTATAAGTGCCTCACATTTTAAAAACACATAGCCAACGCACGCAAAGGTTCTTAAAAACTGTGAAAACGCCTTGTACTGCAGTGCCATGATGTTTAACATAAACTGTTATATATATTTAAATAGAAAAACCGCTTGAGGTCATGGTAAGCGCTGCCTATAACACAATGTGTTTAATACAAATTTACACAATAAATTATCTGCGCACTGTCCACTATACGGAATCGAACCCCGGATTTTAGTTACAAGTCCTTAAAGACTCCCTAGAGAACATATAACAAACGTGTGAGCTCATCAAAGCTAAATGATCTAAATGTGGCTCAATTCTTACAGTGCAATGTATAACAATTGAAAAGAATCTAGCCAAAAAATTGTTATATAATATTGTTATAATAACTGAAAAAATTAAGATCCAGGAAATATGATGTGAAATGTTTGTTTGTAATTAAGCACAAAGCTACACAATGGGCTATCTGTGCTCTGCCCACCACGGGTATCGAAACCCGGATTCTAGCGTTGTAAGTCCGCAGACATACCGCTGTGCCACTGGGGGGCAGATGTGAAATAAGTGATATCTAAACGAAAAACTAAATTATAAGTAAATTAAATTCACTTTGTTCTTTTTACATTCTTGAGTCGGAAATAATTAAGCTCAAGTTCTAGAAAATCAACAAAATAAGTGCACATAAATAAAAATGTGTGAAACTCAAAAGAAATCATTTTGCAAATTGAAACATGGATATTTTCCCCAGTATCGTCGAATCTTTATATATATATATATATATATTCCTAATATTCATCAAAGTTTCAGACTTCTGAGAGCTGATCAGTCTTTGTTGAAACATATGTTTTTTTAGATTTTCTTTCATCTATTAAAGTTTGTTTTTTTAACCATCGCTAACTAATTCGTTGTTTGAATAATGCTCAGCGATGGCGCTACAGTATGAACGGATGTTTTATTTCTGCAAGATGATCTTTATATTCGCCTGTGTAAAACTTCCTCATGTTTACCTTATTGATAGACCCTGTCTATTTATAACAATGAGAGGAGTCTTTTTTTTGATGGACTTCTAAGATGTTTTTTGAGCAGTTTTTAAAATGTTTTAGAAAGTTTTCGTGCAAATCGATGTTTGTAAGTAATGGTCCCGTTTGTTTGTAGTTTCAAATATAATTCAATTTCGTTTTTTCTTCTCTTTCAGGATCACTTTTCTCTTTAATATTTGTTGAAAAATAGAGTTAATTTGGATGGTGATAGAAAGTATGTAGACAACGGAAAGTGTGTGTATATAATTATAGAATATGTCAAAAAATAAAGCCAGTTATTTTGATTGTTATTTTGTGTTTAAAAAAGGCCTACTTCTGCCTTCCCTCGTAAGTAAAATGTAATTACTAGGCCAATCTATTGTAAAACAGTTCTCATAACATCTCATTTTAGAGTATACTTTCCCCACTAAGTAACATTTATACTTGTCCAAATAAACGATGTTTAAAATACCTCCATAAGTATAGTATGGTTATAAAATCATTTTTGGTACATGAAAGTTTGTAGGATGTCAAAATACGCGCGAAATGTTTGGTTTACTTGCATAAGAATGTGTTATGAATGCATTCCAGTTAAATAGAGAAAATAATAAAAGACAGAGTTGAATAAGAAAATTTTTTTGTCAACCATTTCACCCACAAAATAACAAAGAAAGCTGGAAGTAAAGAACTATAGGCAAAAACACAACACACATCGATTTGCATCTAAATGCAAAAAAAAACATGAGAATGAATTTCCGGAACACTTCGAGAATTTGACTTGAAACATCTTATAAACCGCTCAGTAAGTAGATTCTTTTCAGCCCGCCCGGCATGGCCAGGTGGTTAGGACGCTCGACTCGCAATCTGAGGGTCGCGGGTTCGAATCCCCGTCCTACCAAACATGCTCGTCCTTTCAGCCGTGGGAGCGTTATAATTTGACGGTCAATCCGACTATTCGTTGGTAAAAGAGTAACCCAAGAGT